TGTCCACGCATTTTTCGACATCTTCAGGTGCATGTGCCGTGAAAGGAAGCTGAGAAGAAACCATTCACTACATGTAAACCATGGCTAAGTACGTGGGATGATATAATACCTTGTAATTCAAGGTAATACTAAGTTTTTGAGATACAAATTTGCATTGTATGTACTTGACTTCATGGACGATAAGGAGATTCGGGAAGAAGTTGGGTTTTGTAGAGTTAACACCAACCTTTGTTGTGATAAACACGTCCTTTCTTTCCAGCTTTCCACGTATGAAGTACTCATGAAGCACCTTACCGATGACAGCTTCATTCTGGTACAGAAAGGCAGTATCTGAAAATTTTGTTAAGCAAATATGAGATATTAACAAATAGCCAATTCCTTAAAATTTAAGCCAGAGCTCAATTGAGTGACCAAAAAGGGATTTTTTTGTTGTTGATGATGTGGCTGTGAAAAAGTTCCGCTCTGACAGGCTGCCACCATTCAGCATTGCCGAAGTAAAATTTCGATGAAATTTCCTGGTTTATAGACCTACTGAACTTACAGCTACTAAAGTGAAATAAATTCGCAGCTCCCAGTAAATGAGAACAACTGCTTGAAAAATTTGATTATAAGATGGTTTTGTTATATGAGAGAAATTCTCTAACTGCGTTTGGCAGCTTCTGGAAAGAAACACGGCTTAGGCACTTCGCATAGACACTGTTATGTATTTAATTATTTTAGAAGGAACAATAAATTTATCCAATGAATTCAATATCGTGAGGTTGATAATTTTTACTACTTTGATTGTACTGCAAACGATTTATGAGATAGTCCAAACATGATTGTTGGGCCAACTGACAATGAGCTGTTTGCTAATTCCGAAATGTTAGGGGACCGATTCTATGTTTGAGCGGGCTGGAAGCATAACAACCCACCAATAAGGCGATATCCACAGTCGAGCGCTGTCTTCAACGCAGTAACAAGTTCGCATTCATTAGTTGCCTAAAGCGAGAATTGGTCACGTCATTTTTAATT